TACTATATATACAACTACCTATCAGGCAAGTTTAATTGAAGTGTACACCATTTTCATTCTTATAGTAGCTATTGCTGTCTGTACACATAGATTGCGAGTAGGGTAAAACGAGATTTTAAAAAATCACACACAGCGGTATGTTTTCTATCCACATTGGTGTCTGACATAAGATTCTACAGCAAAAACTCAAATTAGTAGTGTGCCTTTATGTAGCTGTAGATAGAATCTGAAATAACTAAGAGCAAGACGAGAGCTGGGATGTGAATAGAATCTCAATAGCATGTCTTGCTGTAACTCGGTAACTACAATCGTATTTTCTACAAAAAGCGGAATGCGCACGTGCACTTGCATCACATATACACACGACAAAAGCACGTCAATTTAACGATGCCTCTTAAGTCAGTGAAACTTGAAAGAACTACGACTGCCTGAATTGTATTAATAGTACATCATATTGATCACAAGACAAGTATATTATTCGTTTGTATAGTATCCCAGCTTGTTGACAACATGTGAAGATTGATACACAAATGAGACTTGAGATATCGCAGTTATTGCAACGTATTGATGGTCCTTTTAGTACTCAGGTAACATCTAGCTTAATCTCCAAATTTTGGAAGGTTGTTATGCACACAGTCTCTGGGAAATGTGAGACGGTCGATATATTCGACTTGTTCGATAGTTCCAACACACCTTGACCTGCATCAATATAATCCCAAAAATCTCTGTCTTTTCGTCATTCGTGTATGTAGAGAAATCAGCTCCAATATTCTGCAGATGGACTATTAAGTCTGCATAATTGTCTTTCATCTTGGTATAGTAGTATTTATCAGACAGAGGCACACAGAGTGGTGACCTCTTTGGAAGGGATTCATTTGCGAATACACCTTCGAAAAGGCCTTCAACTTGGGATTTCTCAATCTTGCCGGATGTCATGTTGACAAATATAAACGTGCTAAGAGGAAAAAATGGAGCTCAGATATTTAGGTACCTTGCAGTTATACACCTATAGGTATTTATATTGAACGTCTTGTGCGTAAAAGTGGAGCCGAATGCCCCCCGTGAAACCTTTCTTTTGTTTGTATTTCTAAATATGTATATTATGTAACCTGACATGTGTCAGTCTGTCAGACTGCCAAACAAGTGTCAACATCGTGGATCATCGTTACCAGTTAAAATCGTCTTTAAATGATACAAGAGTAAATATTCATTCAATTATAACAACGCGAAACATCCTTTAGTATATATATATATCACTTATGATTGGTTTATATATTAATTTTAAGAACTATAGCAACGGTTCGAGCTGCATCGTGAATTCGTAATGGATCTCATAAATATTTGGAAGTTGTGCGTACTATTTATAGTAGAATGTAAAATATATATATATATATATATATATATATATATATATATATATATATGTATCAGACGAAGTCAGAGTCAAAGACTCGAGTATTTGTTTTGTCGTTTTTTGAAAATAAAATAG